GGGGTGCTGCCAGGATTTTACACACTCATACAGGATCATCACTCGTGGGTTTGGGGGTGCTGCCAGGATTTTACACACTCACAGAGGGTCAACCCTCATGGGTTTGGGGTGCTGCCAGGAACTCGTGATGCTGCATGAGCAGAAGAGGACAGAGCGATTTACAGCTGAGCCTTTGACTCTGAGTCCCAGTGCGGGCATCTGAGGACACTCCTTTTTTATTTCTGTTTTCTGGGGACAGGGTCATATTCTGTAATCTTGAAAATCTTGGAACCCACATTGTAGCCCAGGCTGACCTCAAACTCCTGAAAACCTTCCTGCCTCTGCCTCCCAAGTGCTGGGTTACAGATACACATCACAACCAGCTGGATGATGGACTTTCAAAGATACAAAAGGATGAGTTTTTTAAAAGTGCAAATACGCAACATTATTCATTGAGCAATGAATTTTGATTTCTAATTGTTGAATTTTGGCAATAGCCTAAATACCCAAACACAGGAGACTGGCTGAGTAACCCACACAACAGAACACTGTGCAGGTAGGAAAAAAGACAAAGAAATAGTGAATGTAGTAGAACATGCCTTAATCCCAGCACTTGGGAGGGGGAGGCAGAAGGATGAGAAGTTGGTGACTAGCCAAGGCTACACAGTGTGGCTAGGACTGGCCAAGCCCACTCAAAACTCTGTCTCAAACAAAGGAAGGTCTTTATGAACTGCTGTGAACTGTTTCCATGATACACACAAGTGAAGAAACAAGTGTGCACGTCACCATCTGTACCGGAATCAAATGCACATTTACATGTTCTTCATAACAAGAAATACTTAAAAGTCAAACCATGAACTAATGAGCCCACTTATTTTCAAAAGTGGATGAGAATGGGGTTTCAAGAAGCTGGAGAGATGGCTCAGTGGTTAAAAGCACTGACTGCTCTTCCAGAGGACCAGGATTCAATTCCCAGCACCATATGGCAGCTCGCAAGTGTCTATAAGCCCAGTTTCAAGGGACCCAGCATCCTTCCTGGCCTTTGAGGGCACTGTACACACATAGTGGGTTATATAGGTAAAGCAATCATACGCATAATATAAAAATAAATCTTAAAAAAGGAAAGAAAGGAGAATGGGATTCAAGGCTGGAGAGACAGCTCAGAGGTTAAGAGCACATCAGGCGCTTTCAGAGGATCTGAGTTCAGTTCCCAGCACCCATACTGGGCAGCTGGCACCCACTATAACTCCTTCTCACCTACCTTTGTGGGCACCCAAGTGCATGCAAACAAATAAACATAAAATAAACTTTACACAAGGAAAAATAATGAGATTCAAAAGGGATTGAGGGGGGGCAGTGAGACGGCTCAGTGGGCAAAGGCGCATGCTGCCAAGCCTGACCACCTGGGCAGCTGCAGAACCAACATAATGGAAGACAGAACTGAGTCCTGCCAAGCACCCATACACACACACCCACACCCACACACACCCACACACCCACACACACACACACCCCAGTAAGTATATCGTGATAAGAACAATGCAATAAAAAAAATCTTTAAAAGAGAAGGAATAAGATACCTCTCATCTTTGCTTTGAGAGTTCTATTAGAGTTATTGATATGATATTCTGGATTAACAATCTGTGGTTTCTGATCAGCTGGCGCTGAAGAATCAGCTTGTGATTATCGAGAGACCAGAACACCGATGTGAATGCTTTGCTTTACGTGGACAGTCGATGCTGGCTGGCAGGGACTGAGAAACGAGCTGTGGTTAGTAAGAAATCAGCATCACTGAGGGGAAATCTGGGAAGGTCAGGCAGCGAGAACTGGATCCCCAGCACTCGCATAAAGAGATGGCCACCCCGAAAAGAACAGATCCCTAAGGTGTGGTGACAAATTCAGCAAGCAGAGACGCCCTTCAGACTCACCTTGGTGTAGGTGGACAGCTGGTCCTGCAGGCTCTGACAGTGAGACAGGGTCCCCAGGGCGACTTGCCGGACCAACTGCTGAAACTTTAAATTCCTAGAGACAAAATCCGTCTCACAGTTTACCTGTGGGAACAAATGGTACAGCTGCACAAGCTGCTTACGAACAGTCTCCAAACGTCCTGGAGGGTGGAGGCTGTAAGGAGCCGCCAGGATGGCAAGATAGTGCCAGCGGTCCTACAGTCTGGAGGTATACAAATCCTTTGATGCTGCCGCACAGGCCAGAGTGCTTGGGGCCTTGTTTTGCATTTCAGAGCCTTGGTCCTGTGGCCTTGGGCCCTAGCAGAATGGCATCAACCAATCAGCATTCGAGCCTCTCACCCCAGAAAAGCAGCAGCCTTTGGGTTTTTCCGCTCTCTCTCACTTCCTCTTTCGCTTTCTCCCTCTCCCGCCTGCTCTCCTTCTCTCTGTCCTTTTTCTCTTTTCCTTTTCCCCAATTTTCCTCAACCGAGTGCTCCAAATAAAGGCGTGATATGGGAAGGAATCTCGATTTCGTGGTCGTCCATTCCTGCTGGTCAGGAAGCGCGCCACAGGAGGCTAAGCCAAGATGTGGACAGAACAAGCTGCAGACCCTATAGAAGCAAAAGGCCCATTAAAGCTGCAGATCCAGAGTTCTGGTGAGGTGGGAACCAGGAAGTGACTGTTGCCATGGCAGGGAGTTGGCAACAACCTGCATACCCAGGAGGACCCCAGAACATCCTGAAGGACTCCCGAGTTCACCACTCGCCACAGTCACTTCGTCCATTAACCCCAAACCTTTTCTGTTTTGTGAAAGGGTCTCAGGCTGGCCATGAGTTGGGTGAGTAGCCGTGGATGACCCTACCTCTAAGTGATAGAATTATACCCGGGAACCACCATGCCCACTCTCCAAACCACTGTTACTGTCACTTGTTAATCTCATTCCTTTATTGTTGCCTTCTCTGCATCTGCTGTCAGTCATGACCCTCCAGCCTCCTCTAAATCCGCTACTTACTGGTCCTCAATATGCAGAGGAACACTTTAATATAATTACTAACTTTAAAAATCTATTTTACTTTTTCTTATTTTTTTTTTTCAGGGATAAAGGGGTCAGGATTTCACTCTCGCCGAGCTGCCCTCAAACCCACAGTAATCCTCCTGCCTCAGTCTCCCAAGTGTTGAGATCACAGGTGAGAGCTACCACACCCTTCTACTAGTTTCTAAATCTACCTGTTTCAGGTCACAAGATCTGCACTGGATCCATACTGAAGAGAAATGATCTAGGTTGCTAGGCTGTTTCCTATCAAGACGCCTGTGCATTTCCACACTTAAACCCAGGCCTTGAGAACCGAACTCTGACCACCACTGCAGTTCTCAACAGATCCCTTAAGCACGCCAAGGCCCTACCACGGGCCCTGTACTCCAAGACAAGCTGTTTCTAGTACACGGAATCCCCAAGGACTCACCTCTACTAACACAGCTGTGTTTCCCTTCTGCAGCAGTCCAATCAAGCCTTCTTTGGTCTTCCTCCCATGGAGCTTGGCTGCTTTGCTCCAGCCTTCCTTCTGGGCCTGCTTGTGCAGCCAGGCCTCTGCCTACAAATGGAAAAGAGGAAAATTTGAAATGAATGATGCTTTAAAGTATATCCAAACCAGCCCGGTGGTGGTGGTGGCGCAAACCTTTAATCCCAGCACTTGGGAGACAGAGGCAGGAAGATATCTGTGAGTTTGAGATCAGCCTGGTCTATAAAGTGAGTTCCAGAACGGCCAAGGCTACAAATAGAAATCCATCTTGAAAAACAAAACAAGGGGCTGGAGAGATGGCTCAGCATTTAAGAACATTGCCTGCTCTTCCAAAGGTCCTGAGTTCAATTCCCAGCAACCACATGGTGGCTCACAACCATCTGTAATGAGGTCCGGTGCTCTGTTCTGGCCTGTAGGCATACAGACAGAATATTGTATACATAATAAATAAATAAATCTTTAAAAAAAAAAAAACAAAAAACAAAAATCATATCCAAACCAACCGATTGTTTCTGCACTCCCACATTCTGTAACAGAAACTAGTACCTAATAAATGCTCTACACGAGCACCGTAGGCAGCCGGTGTTTTAATCTTCACAACCCCACTACGGTGTAGTGTCTTCGTTACACAGACAACGCTGACATAGCTCTAAAGGATTAATTGCAACGTACAAAATTACGGTGCGCGAGGGCCTCTGGCGTCTAGCTTCAAAATTTACACAAACACTTATCACCAAGCAGTAGCAAATCCCACAGCCCCCTAACATAGGTTCAACTCTGGGATTCTGGGTCAATTGAAGATGAAATAGTTTAAGCCAAATTCTTTGCTTTTGGTTCCGTAGTTAAGGACGCTGGGCCGCAGGTCACGTCTATGTTCCCCAGAATGGCCCCGGAAGAAATGTATGATGTCGAGCCGCAGCACCAGGTCGGACAGCGCCTCCTCCCACCTGTTTGAGGTCACCGCCACAAGTCTCCAGGGCTTTCTTGCAGTTGACGAAGGAGTAGCCTGTTTTCCGCCGCAGCTTCATAAGGAGCTCCTTGCTGGAGGCAGATGCCAACGAGGGGCCCGCGTGAAACGTGTGCCATGGCTGGGACGACTGAAGCAGGACCGACCTCGCCTGAAGGGAGGAAGGAGAAAGGGATGAGCAGTCGGGAGCGCCCGGGGCTGGACAGAGGCGAGGGGACACTTCCTCAGGGTGAGCCCTCGGGGGCACTGTGGGCCGGCCGGGTGGAAAGGCGTGGATCGGGGAACGGGAAGGGCACGCTCACGGCGCCCGAGAGCGCAGGTTAGCCCCTGAGCCACGAGCCCTCACCGAGCGGCCGGTGCACGCGACCGGGAAGAAGCGCAGCGACCGCAGCACCGACATTCTCTCTAGCAGCCGGACACGCCCGCGCGCCGGCGCACAGGTAAGACGCCGGCCTACGGCGTAGTGCGAGGGCCAAAACTCTTCCCGGACCGTGTCGGGAGAGGATGCTGCCACCTGCAGACCGGAGGAATATAATCGCCTCTTCGGCTTGACTTTTTAAAACTGTATCAGAAAAGATTTAGACCTCAGTGGGTAAAACAGAAAGACGACACGATAACATTGTCACAAAATAACAACACAAAACATGTAGGCAATAGTTTATGTTTCTTTATTTCCAATTTTCATTTTCAGTATTCATTTATGACTCAGGACAAAGGGGAAGCAGGTAGGTGGGCTCAGGAAACTATCCAGTCACCTGAAGAGGTAGCGTGGAGTTCCTTCAACAAACCGAATATATAATTACTGAATCAGCAAACTATCTTCTGAACACCAATGTGCATGGGGCTCTTGTCAGTTTCAGGGGATTAGTGATGAATAAATCACAGACAGCCCTGTGCCCCAAGGCATCTATTGGTGAGGAAATAGAATCAGGTAGGGCAAGATAAGGTCCCTAAACAGATAAAGATCTCTCAAGAAGGAAGTCACAGCCAAACTGAAGGACCAGGAAAAGGAGGGTGTTTTTGTTTTGTTTTTCCAGAAGCAAAGAGAGAGTTTTAACAGGAAGCAGTGGCCCTTCCTGTAAGAAGAGCGGAGAAGTAAGAAAATGCAGCCACAGAGCTAGGGAACCAAGAGTAGGACCTTTGCCATTTGGCTAAAAGTGCAATACAAAGGGGTAGGAAATGAAATACGAAGCAGTTTGGGTGCGCGCAGGTGTAGCCTGAGAACCAGGCAGAGACATTCGTTCTTGCAGTAGAAGCTAAATCCAGCAGAGTTTGGAAGGCTGCAAGAATCTGAAGAGTGGTTTGGAGGTTAAGAGAAAGGCAGTAGACACACCAGAGATAGCTGTGTGCCTAAACAGTAAGCAAAGAGACCTGTCCAGAGGGCTTCAAAGGGCAGAGACAAGACGTGAAGGGAAGACAAATTAGGAAGGAAAAGCTAGAGCTCAGAAGAACCAGAGCTGAATACGACCTGATAATCTGTGGGCAGGCCTTGAACTTTGCAAACGATGAAGAAGTATAACCCAAGGGACAGCTCTGCAGCTTGTCCCACCCAGGCTCAGGGCTTAGTGAGAGCCGTATTATAGCAGGCAAGAAGCAGGTGTTCTGAGGTGTCTTGGTACCAGCTCCCCCTCAATATCTACATTTTGGGGGTGCAGAAGAGATGATTAATGCTCATTTTTCCCTTAAAGAATGTCAAAGAATGTTTTTTGTTTGTTTGTTTGTTTGTTTGTTTGAGACAGGATCTTGCTATATAGTTCTGGCTGGCCTCTAACTCACTCTGTAGACCTGGCGGGCCTCAGACTCACAGAGGTCCACCTGTTTCTGCTTCTGGAGTGCTGGAGGGTTAAAGGCGTGCGCCACCCCAAGCAAAGAATGTGCTTTTTTAAAAAGTCCTTTCTGAAGCTGGGCGGTGGTGGCACACACTTTTAATCTCAGCACTTAGGAGGCAGAGGCAGGTGAATCTCTGTGTTCGAGGCCAGCCTGGTCCATAGAGTTCTAAGACAGACAAGGCTACACAGAGAAACCCTGACTCAGAAAAGCAAGCAAAAAAGTCCATTCTGATGAAAGAGCTGGAAGAGATCGGTGCCGGTCTCTCTGCAGCCGCTATTCATACCCAGTTTGCCTCCCTTACCCCCCAAATCCTGCACACCGTCTCATCCTCCTCCACCGACGGCCCCTCTTTGTGCTTTAAATTCAATGCTTCTAGGGCTCTGCTATTTTTAACAAGCTGTCCTGCTCCTGCATCTCCCCAAGAATACCTCGGGGAGCAAACTGGAAGAGGGAAGAAAGAAGACAGGCAGTCCATCCTTCCCTCTTGTCCAGATGTTCATGGCTCTGGAGGTGTGCCGTCCTCTGCTGGGGCAGGGGCTGGGCTCAGCAGCAGGGGTGACGCCCAGCAGGTCTCACGTCCCTGTGCCTGGCCCTATAGATGTTGATATTCACATCCTCATCCCGCTGGGCCAGCTCCAGCTGGAAGTGCTGGGGCAGCAAGTGCCGAAAGAAGCTCTCAGTCCCGTGCTCCTCTCTCATCTTGCAGGCCAGGTAGATGGTACCATGGGGCCCGCACAGGTGCTGGAGGGTCCCCACCAGCAGTGGGAAGGTAGGTTCCAGGTACACGATATCTGCCCCCAGGACCAGGTCATAGTTTCCAGGAAAGCCGTGCTGGTCAATTCCCCAGGACAAGGCACACACCTTCACCCGGCCTCCAGATGGTACATTAGCGCGGACATTATACTGGATCTGCTCTAAGGCCAATGGTAGATCAGTGATGGTAACATCCCCCCCTGAGGGAGAGCAAGGAGGAGAAATCCAAGTCAGAGGAACCACAAAAGGGCTCATGATTCCTGCCCGGAGGGTCCAGAGACCTCAAGGCCTCATGCCTTGAAAGCCCGAAGTCCATACTTTGGCTTTTAGCTGCCCTAACCCCAGCCTCACCCACGCCAGTCTCGTTACTCTACATTCTACAACATCAACATTCTCTCTGAGCTAATCTTCAACCTCTCTGCCCAACACACAACAACCAGATGTCAGCAAAAGCCTGGGCAGGACTAAGCTGGCGAGGAGCTGTGCGCCCCCACCCACCTACCCACCCAAACTCAGAAGACGTGACCTCAGCTGAGCCTCAGAGGACAAGCACAAGTTGGTCAGATGAAGCTTTCCAAGCACGAAATAGGACACAAGAGCCTGGAAGGCAAAGGGCACGGCATAATTTTAAAAAAGGCTACAGTCTAGAGGAGAGGTTCTCAACCTATGGGTCTTGACCCCCCCAAATGGCCATGCGGAAACACAGATATTTGCATTACGATTTAACAGTAGTAAAATTACAGGCGTGAAGTAACAACAAAAATAGTCTTATGGCTGAGGGTCACCACACCATGAGGAACGGAATTAAAGGGTTAAAGCGTTAGGAAGACTGAGAACCACTGATCTAAAATGTCAAGACCCTACCCAAGGCATGCTAAGGAGAGCCAGGCTTGAGAGTGTGTTCACATGCTGAGCAAGCACTCTGCCGCTATACTCCCGGTCCAAGAAAGAGGTTTGTAGAGCAGAATCTGGGGTAAAGACGATCAGATCAGTATTACAGAATACTTTACACACACAACAAATGGGGACTGAGTTCTTGCTAAATGCTAGGGATACAACAGGGAGCAAAACCAAACTACAGCCTCCCTAAAGTTTCACTCTAGACATGGAAACACTCACACACAAATCACAAAAGTAACTACTTAATCAGAAGCAGGATTAACAGTATAGAAAGCAGAATCAATAAGATCTTGCTCATCCATCCTTATCACGGGTCCTCTGTGCCAGGTGTCTGGAATACAGCAGCGAACAAGACAGATAAGAATCCACCCCTCATGCCGGGCAATGGTGGTGCATGCATGCCTTTAACCCCAGCACTCACAAGGCAGAGGCAGGCGGATCTGTGAGTTCGAGGCCAGCCTGGTCTACACAGTGAGTTCCAGGACAGGCTCCAAAGCTATACAGAGAAACCCTGTCTTGATAAAACAAAGCACTACTACTACTACTAATAGTAAGAATAATGTTTCAAAATAAATTAGTTTTAAAAAGGGAGCAGGCTGGGGTTGTAGCTCAGTTGGTAGAATACATAAAGCCCTTGGTTTTATTCCACCAAATAAATTAAGTAATTAATTTTTAGACCAAAAGTGATAGTACATGCCTGTAATCCCAACACTAGAGAGGAATAGGCAGCCAAATCAGAAGTTCAAGGTCATCCTTGGTTACATACTTTGAGGCCAGCCTAGACTCCAAGAGACTCTGTTTCAAAAATAGGGAGATGGGGCAATATGGTAACTTAGCGGATAAAGATGCTTGCCACCAAGCCTTACAATCTGAGTTTGACTTTTGAGCCCCATATGGCGGAGAGAACTGACTCCCACAAATGTTCTTTTGACCTCCACACATGTGCCATGACAAGTACTTGCCCCTCAATGAAACAAATGTAACGTTTTTTCAATTAAACAAAGAACAGCGGTGCCAGACAGTGGTGGCACAGGCCTTTAATCCCAGCACGTGGGAGGCAGAGACAGGCTGATCTGAGTTTGAGGCCAGCCTGGTCTACGGAGTGAGTTCCAGGACAGTCAGGACTACACAGAGAAACCCTGTCTCGAAAACACCACCAACAACAAGCAGTGGCAGGAAAAGAAGACATGAACAAAAGAAACGAAATTCCCAAGCCTAGTGGTACCCACCTGTCTGTCATCGTAGCACTTGGGAGGCTGAGGCAGGAGGACTGTTAGTCTTAGACCATCTCGGGCTACATGGCAAGACACATTGTCAACAAACCAAAACTAAACAGGGCCTGGTGGCTCACACCTATAATCCCAGCACTTGGGAAACAGAGGCCAGAAGATGAGCAGTTTAAGGCCAACCAGGGTTACATTGGACCTTATCTAAAAGAACAATGCAAAAAACAAATAAGACACACAATACATCAAATAGTAATACATGCTACAGTGAGGCACCAAGCAGGGAAGAGGCATGACTCCTTTGAGGACAGCCGGCTTGGGAAATCCTCCCTAAGCATTCTTGGGAAAGACCTAAAGATAAGCAGGGCTGGAGCAAACCACGTGGCTCTCCCTGGCTAAAGTCTACCAAACAGCTGATCAGCAAGCACGCACAGAGAGCCTGAGGCAGGATTGTGCCTGGCAGGTGTGAAGATGGAGCAGGAGGACAAACAGCAGCAGGAGCCGAGGGAGGGGGGACAGGGGCCAGCTCTTGTGATGAGAGAAGGTGGGGCAGTTTTAAGTAGGACTTTCTACACTGACTCAGGGTTTACTAGGTGTACTTTGATTGCTGTGATTAAAAAACAAAAAACAAAACAAAAAAACCACAAGCGGACTGGAGAGATAGCTCAGCAGTTAAGAGCACGTGTTGCTCTTGCAGAGGACCCCGGCTTGACTCCCATCATGTGACCCACATGGTGGCTCACAACCATCTGCAACTCCAGTTCCAGGTGATCCAGTGCTTTCTTCGGACGTCTTCAGGCACCAGGATTGCATGTGGTAGACACATGCAGGCAGAACACACGCACACACAAATAAATAAATCTTTAAAAAACACATACACACACAAGCAAAGGACTGCAGCAGAGCAAGGACAGAGGCAGGGGGATTTAGTTAGGAGGCAACTGCAAAGGTACTTGTCACGGGGAGAGATGATCTTGGTTGGAAATCGGGTGACAAAGACGAAGAAGCAGTCAGATTCTGAATATATTCTGAAGGTGCTGCCAGTGTCAATGAGCTGATATTCCCTCTCTCTCTCTCTCTCTCTCTCTCTCTCTCTCTCTCTCTCTCTCTCAGATTTTTATTAAGGATTTTTATTCTGATTAAAGATTTTTGTTTGTTTGTTTGTTTCGAGACAGGGTTTCTCTGTAGCTTTGGAGCCTATCCTGGAACTTGCTCTTGTAGACCAGGCTGGCCTCAAACTCACAGAGATCTGCCTACCTCTGCCTCCCAAGTGCTAGGATTAAAAGCGTGAGCCACCACTGACTGAGGATGTTTTTTGAACATTTGGCTTAACTCAGACCAAATTGCCCATGATGTAAATGAAGAGGGCTTCTTCAGGAGAGGAGGCAGACTTGGAAACAGGAGAGCAATTTCATTTGTGAGCAAAGTCTGAAATGTCTATCAAACAATCCCGTGAAGATACTGAGTAGTGTAATGAGCATGGAACCAGATTCTGGTTCCATTACAAGTAGGCTGCGGGTTATGTAAACAAGTCTGAATATAGAAGTGAGAGAATCCTGGTCCTCGCCATAAAAAGGACACTCAAAGCCACAAAATCATGTGACTTCTCAGGAGGGAGCATAGCCAGAAAAAAATAAAAGGTCAAAAGGGCTACTCCTGAGCTCTGGGGTGCTCAAAGTTTCTGTTGTAAGGATGAAAAGAAATTAATAAAAAAAGAATGGGAAAGTATGCCAGCAGTGTAGGTGGAAGCCAGAAGTGCACTGGCCCAGAAAGCAAAGGACTTTTCAAGGAGAGAAGAGTATCATGTCAGTGCTGAGTCTACTGGAGTGCGCTAGAAACTGGTCCTGAGTTCAAAACACGGGGTTAAAAGTGAAGCTCAGAACCCCGGCTAGAGACCCGAAGGGAGTGACTAACTGGGGTGGACTGAGGAAAGGACAGGAGAGGACTACAGCGACGTGAACATTTGGATTTATTCTCTCCGGAGCAGAGAAATGGCTCGAGGGATGTAAGGGATGTAGTGGGTGTAGGGGATGTAGGATCGGCCGCTGACCTCCCCACAATAGAAATCCAGCATAGCTATGTACATATATATCAATCATATACACAAGCATACACACAGCCAGATTAGAGATACTACTCTGTGTGTAAAGAATAGATAGAGAGATAGATAGATAGATAGATAGATAATAGATGATAGAGAGATAGATAGATGACTGATAAATAGATGATAGATAGATGATAGACAGGCAGACAGACAGATAGATGATAGATAGATAGATAGATAGATAGATAGATAGATAGATAGATGATAGATAGACAGACAGGTGATAGATTAGATAGATAGATAGATAGATAGATAGATAGATAGATAGATAGATAGATAGATATAGATGATAGATAGATAGATATAGATGATAGATAGATATAGATGATAGATAGATAGAGTCACAGATAAGGGTGGTAATTGCAGAGGAGGCATTCACAGTTTGAACAATAAGAAGGTTAGGAAATAGATGTCTAAGAGCGTGGAAGAATAAGCAGGCAAAGGAAATTTGACAAGCTAGCTGGGTAGCACAAGGACCCACCTGAGCTCAGTGAAAACCAGCTTAAAGTGAGTCTATGAGCACAGTTGTGTGAGTGCTAAGAGATCCAAGCCAGCCTGGGCTGGGGGTGGTAGGGAGGAAGGAAGGGCTGTTTGAGCCTAGCAATGAAGAATACATTTGCATTAGCCAAGCAGTAAAACTGTTTCAAGCAGAAAGTGCAGCCCCTCCCCACAAGTCCCTAAGGAAGGAGACATCAAAGCAGTTTGTAGAAGGGACAGAAAGGTAATAGATACAGGTCAGGGAGCAGAACAGAAAGAGGTCACAGAGGGAGGCACGACTTGGACGGCGGTGGGGTGGGGTGTGGGAATGATACCTACATTTTGAAAAAGCCACTCTGATTACAGGGTGGTGTGAGTGAGCCAGGATGTAGGTGGGGGCCAGAACTCAAAGCAAGAAGACCAACCAGTTTAACTCCTTATTATGGTCTGAGCAGATGATGGTGGTGGCTCAGGCTGTGGAGCCAGGAGGGGAGTTGAGAAAACACAAGAAAATCCAAGACATTTTTAGGAGTTGAAATCCACAGGACATGAAGGGTATGAGGAAGAAAAGCAGGGACAGGACAAAGGTGACGTCAAAGTTCCGCACTGGGTGGGTGGTGGCTTCACGATGGGAGAGCCTGAGGGAGGAACAGGTCTGGTGTGGGAAGATCACAGGGTCAGTGATCTTCAGGAAGCATGAAGACACTGTGAAAATTGGGGCAAGAAGTGGTGGTGGAGAGCCGGGCGGTGGTGGCGCACGCCTTTAATCCCAGCACTCGGGAGAACAGACAGTTGTGTGTGTGTTAAGAATACAGGACTGGCTGATTTCTGGGACACAAAGTGAAAGAATAGGAGATCACACCCAGATTTCAGACTTGGCAACTAATCAGGGTACAAAAAGGCCCCCCTGGCCTGACAGTGCGCTCTCTCCCTTTCTCTCTCATACAAACACACACACACACACACACACACACACACACACACACACACGCACACATTTCCCCTTTCTTCCTTCCCTCCCTTCCTATCTGAGACAGGGTCTTATGCTATAGCCCAGGTTGACCATTGATCTTATACCAGTCTTCCTACCTCTGCCTCCTGAGTGCTGGGATTCCAGGCATGAACCCCTAGATTTACCTTCTCTCCTCCTAATGTCACTTTCTAACTCTCATCCACCCACCCTCCTCAACCCCTCATCTGTCAGCCTCCCCTTGATGGACTCTTCAGCAGTCAAGGTAACTCCGACAAGAGCCCAGCCACCGAGTATGTGCCATAGCATCTTCTCACACTGCCCCTCCCTAGACCACGAGTTCTTGGAGAGAGGAAAACCTTGTTATCCATGTCAGCGCCCCCAGCACGACTCTTGGCACACAGAGGACTTAGAATATATGGTTGACTGAATGAACAGAAGAATGAATGTCTGTGTCTGCAAAGCCTTCCCTCAACGTGACCCAGTTATGTTCCCTATGACAAGAACATCCTTTTTTGTATGACTTAGACAACAGGAAAGCAACTTTTTTAGTTTCTGACTCTTTATTAATTACCCCCTACATCTAAAATGAATATCTATAACTAGCACACCACCTACATCTAAATGAATATATATATATAAATAACCATTGCACCCTAGCCCTCCAAAATTCACACCCTTGTTTCTTCTAGCAATAAAAACCTAAAGCTGTATTTGGTATGGTGGTATGCACCCGTAATTCCAGCACTTGGAAAATTAAGGCATGAGGACAATTTTAGGCAACAAGTGACTTTTCTCGACTAGACCACACCCCATCCCAGATCCCAGAGAGAAAGAGATTAAAGGAGAAAAAAATTCAAAAGACTCTAACATAACGAAGCTATAACGCTTTGATGAGGTTTAACGCCCTAGGTCTCTTCTCCCTTCCGAATACCCACCCACGCATGCATTTTAACGCAAGAGTATCTCGAGCATTTTTCATGGTTTGTTTTGTCCACCCTTGTCCCAACTAGCCTGGGTGTTCTGAACTCCAATTAGCGCTGTCTACCTCACAGTAAAGTAGGGGTTTGTTAAAACGAAAGAACTGAGTTGAGTTCAAATGTCCGGCCCACCCCAAGGAATCCACGTATTAACTTCCCACACTCGGCTCCCCTTCCTCCCGCGATGCCAGCTCACGGACCCTGAAGCGCCGCCAAGATTCCCACGATGCCCGTCCCAGCGCCCAGTTCGATCACCTTCTTGCCTCGAAAATCCACATTCTGACTCTCGAAATAGTTACACAGGCTCAGAGCCTACAAGGGGTTGGAAAGAAAAAGAAAGAGGGGCATTGTCACGACCGTGGTTCCATATGGAAGAGGCGGGGTCCGGGAACTGGATCTCTCAGGGACCCTCACTGAGGGCAGCCCCTTCCTCACCGCATCCCACACACGTGCCGCCACCCCAAGGCGCGACCCAAAGTTCTGCGTGATGCTCATCTCGTGCCCACAGAAGCAGAACCGGCTGCTCTCCGAGTAAGAGTCGGTGAAGAGCCGGACCTCCCGTGGGAACACGGATTCGGGCTCGGGTTCAGGATCCGGGTGGGAGCTGGCCATCAGGCAGAGAGTGTACCGGAGCACGTCAGCCGACGCTCGGATCCCACTCGGTGGCTGGGTTGAGGCTGGGGACTGCCAGCCATCTGGGCTGCTCCCAGGCACCGGGCCCCGCCTCCCCAGTTCGCCCTCCTCCCTCCAGCTGGACTTCCTGGAGATGGATGGGGACGACCCCTTGAGCTCGGGTCCCTGGCGCACACAGACCATGACCCACGCAACACCACACAGGTCGGACCCGGCTGACTTGGTTTGAGACCAGCAGGAGGGAGAAGAAATAACGTTTGATGCGACTATCAGAGGCGGGTTCCTCATGGCCCGCTCACCTGTGGGGCGCACAGGTGCATGGAGGCATCTGGGAGTCCAGACTAGGCAGAAGCAAGCCAACAGAAAAGGCAGGGTGCCTGGAGCTGGCCATCCCGGGAGCTCAGGCCAGCAGCGCGCTTGCTCTCCCCTGCTCGCCCCTTCAGGGTCTGTCCTCCCCTCACGTCCAGCAGAATTCGCCCTTGGTTCTTTAAGGGGCGGGGCCTACTGGCAGCCCGCGGTCTGCGTCATCAACCTGCGCCCGAAGCCACGGCTCTCCACGTGGATTCTGTGGCATCATGGCGGGAACGGAGGCCCCCCAGCCGCAGAAGCGCTATTACCGGCAGCGCGCCCACTCCAACCCCATGGCGGACCACACGCTGCGCTAGTGAGCGAGCCGGGCGGGATCTGGGAGGGAGGCAGGGCGCTTCAAGCAGCCTGGCACGTGCTGGCCCCAGAGCTAGGGCCTGAGAAGGACCCGGGAGGGTTGTCCGGGTGACACGTCAGCTGGGGACGAGCTAGGGAGACGGAGCAGAAGGCGGAGTTGACCGGCTGGCGGCTGGGAGGGGTCCTGATGTTGTAGACCAGGTCTGGGAGGACTTGCCAACCAGATCTGGGAAGAGAAAAACACTATTGCTGGAACTAAAGTGAAGAAGCGAAGCAAGTTGATTTTTCGAGACAGGTTTTCTCTGGGCAGCCCTGGCTGTCCAGGAACTCGCTCTGTAGACCAGGCTGGCCTCGAACTCACAGAGATCCACCTCCCTCAGCCTCCTGAGTACTGAGATTAAAGGCGTGTGCCACCATACCGAGCTCCGATTTACTTTTATTTTTTTAGTTTATAAAAAAGATAAACATATACACACTCCTGGCCACTCCTTGCTTCATCCTCTGCACAGAAACACATACATAAATAGATTAGTATCCCAATGCCTCAGGTAGTCAGTGTCTGGGAGAAAGAACTTCTTGAGTTCCAGAGAGGAGAGCTCCCTGGCCTGGCACATTAATACCCAGAAGTAGAGATTGGCAGCTCAGCAATCATAGCCTCATGAAGGGCTGTGATCCACACCCTAGGAGCCAGGGGACTTTCCGTCGTGCCCTCTAGATACCATATGGCTCACAGACTGTGGATTTTTTGAGAAATCTACCATCCCCCCTCCCACCCCTACTCAAGCATGTCACAGTGACATGCCCTACAGTCTCACGTGTCTGTCTTCTTTCCAATAGCCCTGTGAAGCCAGAAGAGATGGACTGGTCTGAGCTTTACCCAGAGTTCTTTGCCCCGCTTACTCAAAACAAGAGCCATGATGATGCAAAGGATGAGAAAGAGAAGCAAGCTGGGGCCCAAGTGGAGTTTGCAGACATAGGGTGTGGCTACGGTGGTTTGTTAGGTAAGGTACCAGCTGTCTCCCTGGGACAAGGAGAGGCCTGGGATCTGCAGTCTCAGCAGGTCAGACGCAGGGTTAGTTGACCTTTCCTCCTGTGACCAGACGCAGTGACATCAGTGTGGGAGCCTCCACCTTTCTTCTACCCTGGGTCTGTAGCCTTTGCCCTGGAGAAGGGAGGGGGCTGCCTGAAATGTATCTTAGAACCTGGGCCATTCTGTCTGGCTCCAGTCCCTAACACAAGCCATGTCACCTGCCCTGTGCTGGGTCAGTGAGCCGGTCAGCACAAGCGTCAGAGATCAGCTACCATGGGCACTGATCCTGAACCGTCTTTCTTGGGGATTCCACCAGCTTCTCCCTTCTACCCGCTTTCTCACCAGAACACATTCTGCCCTACTCCTTAGGATTTGGGGTTCCTGTTGTATTGTCTTGACTTTCGAGAGTGTGCATGCCAAACTACTTGCCCATCTCTCACCCTTCCCCTATAGAGAGAGAACACGGTCGAGACTGGAAATGTTGCCTCCCGTCAGAGCTCACCTCTGTTAGTTCTGTGATCGTGAGCATTTCCGACCCCCAGTTTCCCCACTTTCACAGTCTGCCACAGAGCATGAATAGGATCAAATGAGACTTCGTCATGAAAAACGCTCGGGCAGCGGTTCTCAACCTGTGGGTCAACACCCTTTGGCGTGACATCAGATAGTTACAACTCGTAACAGTAGCAAAACCACGATTATGAGTAGCAGTGAAATAATTGTGTGGTTGGGTTGGCACAGCATGAGGAGCCGGAGTTCCTGCGCAGCATCAGGAAGCTGACACACTGCTCTGAAACAAACGCAGCTATGCTTGTAGTCCCTGCGCTTTTGCTCTAGTCTATGACAGATCTTTTTGTTGGTTTTATTTTTTGAGACCGGATCTTGCCATGTAGCCCTGTCTGGTCTGGAACTTGCTATATGGAGCAAGCTGGCTTTGAACTCACAGAGATCCTGCCTGCCTCTGTCCCCCTTCGCCTATTTCCAATGCTTAGGATTAAAGGCATGAACCACCACACTGCTCCTGTGACGTGTGACAGCTAAGTGTCTTTTCTGTCTCCTGCCAGAGAACTCTGTGGGTGTGGTATCTGCCCCGCCCATGGCTTAGATATCTACAGACAGAAACCTTCTTTCCTGTGTTAAACCTCTTAGTTCTTCCTTGCACGATGACACTGGTGACCCCATTGCCGTTTCTGTCCCCAGTGGCGCTGTCACCGCTCTTTCCAGATACCCTGATTCTGGGTCTGGAGATCCGGGTGAAGGTGTCAGACTATGTACAAGACAGGATTCGGGCCCTCCGTGCCGCTCCTGGAGGCGGATTCCAGAACATTGCCTGCCTCCGCAGTAACGCCATGAAACACCTGCCTAACTTCTTCCGCAAGGGCCAGGTGCAGCCTGGGGAGCAGCCCGGGTGGGGTGGGCTGGTCGGCTGGTGGAGCGGGGAAGCCAGGTACTCACAAGCCATCCTGTTGGTGCACATCTGTCCCACAGCTGACAAAGATGTTCTTCCTCTTTCCCGACCCACATTTTAAGCGAACGAAGCATAAGTGGCGAATCATCAGTCCCACGCTCCTGGCGGAATATGCCTATGTGCTGAGCATCGGGGTGAGCGGGGAGGGTGTCAATGGCCTGCCTGGTGCTCTCCACCAAGAAGTCATCTGAGAGTTGGGGTGAGCTGGGAGGGAAGATGATGTCAGTGGCCTACTCAGGGCTCTCCACCAAGAATTAATTGGGACATTTAAGCCGTTATACTATCACGCCCATCTTGTTGCTCAGTTGCGCTCAGCCCATAACTAGAATGATGTTGTCTCTCCAGGGCCTGGTCTACACCATCACTGATGTACTGGAACTGCACCAGTGGATGTGCACCCATTTTGAAGAGCACCCGCTGTTTGAGCGCGTGCCTCTGGAAGAGCTAGTAAGTAAGATGCCTGGGGGAAATTGCAAGAATCCAGCTCTATTCAAAGTGGTTGAATAGTGGTTCTCTAGTCCTTGAACTTAGCATAGGGCCAGGAAAATGGGAGTCTAGTCAGTCAGGCCAATTTAAAAGGTGAGTAGGGGGGGCTGGAGAGATGGCTCAGTGGTTAAGAGCATTGCCTGCTCTTCCAAAGGTCTTGAGTTCAATTCCCAGCAACCATATGGTGGCTCACAACCATCTGTAATGAGATCTGGTGCCCTCTCTGGCCTGCAGGCACACGTGTAGGCAGATAGTGAATGCATAATAAATGAATAAATATTTAAAAAAAAAAAAAAAGAAAGGTGGGTAGGGACATGCCAGACCCTCTTTCTGCAGAGTGAAGATCCCATTGTGGAACATCTAGGCACTTCAACTGAGGAAGGAAAGAAAGTTCTACGCAATGGAGGAAAGAATTTCCCGGCCATCTTCCGAAGGATACAGGATCCCGTCCTCCAGACAGTGACCCCCAATCCCACCCTGCCTGACCACTGACTTCTAACCCTGCCTTAGCTGAACTTGTCTAGTAACTAGAAAAAAGATCAACTCCCATTCCAGGCCTGCTCAGACTGCTGGGACAGGGCCATGATCTCTCCGAGAAGCTGGGTGTGGCCTGTGTTCTCACCCATCACTGACTCTGTGTTCTTGCCCCTCCGCTGTCAGAAGAAAGCAGAAGAAGCTGACCGAGAAGGTCAAAGGACCTTGGACCAGAGGGTGTATTTGGAGGGGTGTGGGGTTTTGTTCTCCTCAACTGGAATGAAGAGGGCAGTGCCCTGCTGTCTAAGCTGTGTGTTTGGCTCAGGTTGCCCACCCCCCGTTGTGTTTACTCTGCAGTCCTGAGGATAGTGTGTGTGCCCACATGCCGATGCTGCTGTTTCCCAGGAATGCTGGGTGTGTGTCACGTGCCTCCTCCCATCTCCTAGCTTACAGTCTGACCTGGCCGTTTGTGCTGCCGTTATTGTTGCCGTCTCTGGTTCGGGGAGGCCAGAGGGATACCATGGTGACCTTTGATTCCAGACTTTCCCAGCCAACTGACTGGCATACTACCTGATGGGATGAGGGAGGGAAGACAGAGGAAAAGAGACTGAGGAGCAGGGAGCTAAACCGGAATATCATTTTTTAAGATGTATGTGTGTAAGTATTTGCCTGCGTGTAGGTATGTGCACCATACTCACGCCTGGGCCCTTGGGGGCCAGAAAAGGGAGCTGGTTCCCCTGGAGCTACAGACGGTTGTGAGAGACGATGTGGGTGCTGGGAACCAAGTCGGGTTCATCTGTAAGAGCAGCCAATGCTTTTAATGCTGAACCATCTCTCCAGCCCTGAATGGGGGGATTCTGTGGCTCAAAGTAGTATGTGGCTGCTGACCACAAAGATGCCCAAAAGAGGTTGAGTGACCTTAGCCTTCATCCTATCCAAAGACAGAATCTCCAAACTTACATACTTTCAAAAACAAAAACAAACTCCTTTATATCGGTTTTTCAAGACATCATGTCTCTGTGTAGCCCTGGCTGTCCTGGAACTCACTCTATAGACCAGGCTGGCCTCTTGAGCTCACAGAGATCCACCTGCCTCTGCCTCCCGAGTGCTGGGATAAAGGTGTGCGTCACTGCCTGACGTGTATTATTTACGTTTTTGTGTGTGTGGAGGTGAGGGTATGCACAGGCCCATGTGTGATGGTAGAGGACAACCCGATGGAGTCAGTTCTGGTCTTTTACTCTATGGGTCCCTGGAATCGAACTCAGATCATCAGGCTTGGCGTCAAGTTCACTTACTTGCTGAGCCTTCTCGCTGGCCCTAGGACACTCTTTATTTCCCTTCCTCAAACCCTACTCACCATGTCTGAAAGGAAGGGACTTGTTGAGCTAAGACACTCCCTCTCCCAAGAAACAAAGATGGAGTCTGGAGAAATGACTCAGTGGATAAGAGCACTCAGTCTTCTTCCAGAGGCCCTGAAATTGATTCCCGGCACCCAAGGTGAGTGGCTCTCAACAGGTTGTAACTCCTGTTCCAGGAGACCCGATGTCCTCTCCTGGATTCTGGGCATGCATCTATATGCCTGCGTGTGCGCATGTGCACACACACGCAAACCAACATGCATTTGCATAGATTAAAATCTTTTTTTAAAAAAAGGGATTAGAGGGGGCTGGAGAGATGGCTCAGTGGTTAAGAGCACTGCTTGCTCTTCCAGAGGTCCTGAGTTCAATTCCCAGCAACCACATGGTGACTCACAAACATCTACAGTGATATCTGGTGCCCTCTTCTGGCCTGCTAGCATAATGCAGGCAGAGCACTGTATAAATAAATGAATAAAATAAAAACCTTAAATAAAAATAAATTAAAAAAGGGATTAGAGCTATGGCTCCGTGGTTAAGAGCACTTGTTGCTCTTGTAGAAAACATGGATTCAGTTCCCAGCACTCACAGGTGGCTCAGCCATCTTTAAAGCTCAGGGTATCTAACTCCTCCTGACTCCCACTGTCACCAGGCATATGTCACACGTGGATTAAGGCAAATCATACACATAAAAAACACCGAAATACCAAAACAGAGAAGGTATTTTAACCCATTAATCTACATGTGGTGTTGTCTGTGTGAGGCATAGGAGGAGAGTTGTGGCTAGGCTATTGCAGGAAAATCCCTGCAGCAGAGAAGGGGCGATCCTAGAATATGGGGATGCCTGAAACTGCCTTTACCTTGTTTCCATTCAGGGTGATAGAGAAGAGAGAACTGGGCCTGAAGAGACTTGGCTCCCCAGGGAGTAGTGGGATTATGAGGTGCTGGCTTCCAAAATCCATGCTCAGTAACCTTTCCCAGGAAGAGACCTTTCGGCTGCTGCCGCTGGACCAAAGCATACAAGGGGAGCACTGAGGGAGCCCTAATGGCAATCATTACCACAGGAGACCCAAACGAGCCCCGCCTACTGCTCCTGGGTGCTGTGCTCTGCACAGGCCACCCTGCAAAAGGGATTGGCTGAAGGGCTGGAGGGGGGCGTCTTCACCCCCAGGGCCAAGGGTTATAAAAGGGTTCAGGCAAGCACAAAAGATGCGCTGGAGGAGTGGCGGACTCTCGCTGCACGTAAAACATGACCCAGGCTGTCAACCTCGCCTCCAGAGTGCTCCATCGAGTGCACCTGCCTCCACAGCTGGACGCCTCACTGGCCTCCAGAAGCTCTGACTTAGCTTTCCAGAGCTTGGCTGACATCCCTGGGCCCTCTATGCCAAGATTCCTGGCAGAACTTTTCTGCAAAGGGGGCCTGTCCAGGCTCCATGAACTGCAGGTAAGAGTCCTGCCACTGGTGGGACTGAGCTGGGAGAACTGGCTTTAATGGCAGAAAGGACCATGGTGAAGAACACAAGAAGGAGGGCCAGTGAGAATGGGTACCTGTGGGGAATGAACTAGAGACCGTTCTATTGCCCCACAGTCTACACCTACATCTGGCAAAGGGGTGTGCGCTCACTTTACGATAGGAGACCCTGCAGATCTAGGACAAGGGTACAGGACGGGTGAGAGCATTGTGCTATCCTTCCGATCTGGCTTAAAGCTGCACGTTCCTTTTCTTTTCCTGGAGGCTCGTCTTGAGGTGCAATCTAGCCGAGGAGTCTTGAAGAAACTGCTTCCCCTAGGCTAGAGCCAGATGACTAAAAAGAAGCCCTAAACGTCTGCTTTATGCAAAGTTTCTCTATTTTGCCATTCCCGCCGAAACTTTCGTGGGATGAAAGAAAAAGTTTGCCGCATCTGAGCCGGCACTGGAAAAGCTCTCCTTAACCAAGCCTAGCCAACGCCCTTGGCCTTGGCACAAGCCAAACTAAGAGTCACCCACCCAAGTGTTCAAACGTCCTCTGCACGGGTTCTCAGGTTCAGGGAGCTGCGCGCTACGGGTCAATGTGGTCCGGTAGCTTCGGGACACTTCGCACTGTGTATGTGGCCTCCCCTGCACTTGTGGAGCAGCTGCTGCGACAAGAGAGTTCCTGTCCAGAGCGCTGCAGCTTCTCATCTTGGGCAGAGCACCGTCGCCGCTACCAACGGGCTTGCGGATTGCTAACAGCGTGAGTGATCCCTTGACCTCCCAATCCTCCATCCCTGCCCTTCTCTTGTATCCAGCCAAGTTGGGCTTGGAGAGAAGTCGGCAGTTTCCACCAATCTCTGGCATCTCTGAGTCCAAACTCAGGCAGAGTAGAGCGAGTCCTTGCCTTCCCCGCCCCCCCGCCCCCCCCCCCCCCGCTTTTGAGGCCAGGATCCTAAGAATCCGTGGTACCAGCATCTGGACGGAATGTAGTCTGTGACTCAGCTTACCCTAGAACCCACTCCCATCCTCCCATCCCTGGGCAGGAAATGAGTGAAGAAGGGAGATGAAAGATGGGTTAGGTCAGGGGCAGGTTCTTACACTCGGAGGGAACAGGCACAATACTTCCGGTCACCCTAGCCTTCTCCACACACGCTCACCTGCCTGATGCGCGCTCTCTGCACCCGGGCAGGGATGGTGAAGAATGGCAGAGACTCCGAAGTCTCCTGGCCCCGCTACTCCTCCGGCCTCAAGCAGCGGCTGGCTATGCAGGAACTCTAGACAACGTGGTCCGTGACCTTGTGCGACGACTAAGGCGCCAGCGGGGTCGTGGCTCTGGGCTACCCAACCTCGTTCAGGATGTGGCGGGAGAGTTTTACAAATTTGGCCTAGAAGGTGAATCCTAAAATAGCAGTTAGGGACAGGTGTAGGTGGCTCTGGGACCTAGCCGCCTGGTGTCTGACTGCGCCCCCTTCCGGCCGGTCAGGCATAGGTGCGGTGCTGCTGGGTTCGCGCCTGGGCTGCCTGGAGGCTGAAGTCCCTCCGGACACAGAGACCTTCATCCATGCGGTGGGCTCGGTGTTTGTGTCCACACTCTTGACCATGGCAATGCCCAGTTGGATGCACCGCCTTGTACCCGGACCCTGGGCCCGCCTTTGCCGAGACTGGAACCAAATGTTCGCCTTTGGTAAGGCCCAGAAATGTGTGTTGTCTGGGGGCGGGGTGCGGGGGAGGGGAGGCGTGTTGGAGTATCTAAAGCTGTACCGGCATAGAGGCATCAGTCTGCCTTTCTCAGCCCAGAAGCACGTGGAGCAGCGAGAAGGCGAAGCAGCCGTGAGAAAACAGGGAAAACTTGGAGAGGACGTGCCGTCTGGGCATCACTTAACCCACTTCCTTTTTCGGGAAAAGTTGCCTGTCCAGTCCATCGTGGGGAACGTGACAGAGCTACTACTGGCTGGAGTGGACACGGTGAGGATTCTCTATAGTCCCATTTCCAGAGCGCGGTTTCCCCTGGCTCCAGGGTCACTATTCAGGGCATCCACTCTGATCGTGTATACAGGCTTGACCTTAGTAATTGTTTGGTTCCTGACCGCCCCCTCCCTCTGCTACCCACTTCACCAGGATTCCCATGTCTAACACCAGATGGTCTGACCTGTTCCTCCAGGTATCCAATACGCTCTCCTGGACGCTCTATGAACTGTCCCGGCACCCCGAAGTCCAGTCCGCACTTCACTGTGAGATCAAAGCTGCTGTGGGTCCTGGCTCCCGTGCCCAGCCCCAAGCTCTGTCCCAGCTACGCCTGTTGAAGGCTGTGATCAAGGAAGTGTTAAGGTGAGGGGGGAGAAAAGTAGGAACCAGAGAAAATGCTGGAAGAGAAAATGCTGAGGAAGCTGACAGTGGATGGAAGCCTAGAGTGGGAGCAGGGAAAACTGGCTCTCTACTCCCGAGAAGGAGGAGGAGGAGCTGGGTCCCCAGCCGCACCTTGCTGAATCCATCTTTTGTTTTGTGACCTAGATTGTACCCTGTGGTACCTGGGAATTCCCGTGTCCCAGACAGAGATATCTGTGTGGGTGACTATATTATCCCCCAAAATGTGAGTAGATCCTTCTGCTAAGTCATTCCTTACCCCTGTGGGCCCAAGCCATCCTCAGATACTCCCCCAAACCTTCCAGATCCCCCCCCTTTATCATACCTTTTTCTAAGATATAACGGAGCAATAAAGAAAGTTCCTCGCCATCAACCAGGGCCTGCTTTTACACTAGTCCATGAATCTTCTTCTTCAGAATCCCCCATCCCGCACTCTCAGGCTCAAACTGTTAGCTTTGGGGGGAGGAGGAGGAGTGTTGGAATGGGATCTTGCTATGTGGCCTCAGTGGCCTTGAACTCACCATCCTCCTGCTTGTTTTCTGAGGACTAGTGTGGACACAAAACCCGGCTACCGAACTGACAAGTTTGCATTTACCCCCTTCAGACGCTGGTCTCTCTGTGTCACTATGCCACTTCAAGGGACCCTGCCCAGTTTCCAGAGCCAAATTCTTTTAATCCAGCTCGCTGGCTGGGGGGTGGTCCAGCCCCCCACCCATTTGCATCTCTTCCTTTTGGCTTTGGCAAACGCAGCTGCATAGGGAGGCGCCTGGCGGAGCTTGAACTACAAATGGCTTTGGTTCAGGTAAGTGATCTAGAACTTATACTAGCCCCTGACTGGAAAGGCCCAATCAACATGGGTGTTCTTGTTCTCTGACAAACACAGTGAAATATGTAAGACTCAGCCAATTCCCATTATAGGTCTGGAGTATAAGCAAAGATATATGAACTCATGTTCCCTTCCCTAATCTCCTGCCCTCCTTGACCAAGAAGTCCCTTCCTGGCCACAGATGCCATCCCAACAGTGGCCACTCTGACGCTAAAAATGTTCTTTGCCAATCAAGGCTCACCCATAGTGATAATCTTCTTCCCTTTTTAGATCTTGACCCATTTTGAGGTGCTGCCTGAGCCGGGTGCTCTGCCAGTCAGACCCATGACCCGGACTGTCCTGGTACCTGAGAGGAGTATCAACCTGCAGTTTGTAGACAGATAGCCCTACGGAAGGAAGCTGGAGTCACCTGCCCTCTCTGAGGCACAGGAGGCACACCTTCCCTCGAGGCCTGTCTGTCTGAGCAAACTTCAGGAAGCAGGACCTGACCTACGTGTGAGGCGTGTGCACGGCCTGACTCAGCCGGCCCTCACGCCCTCACGGAACCACAACCCTTTCTCTCGCTCGGTACTTCTCCTAGTCACTCCTCAAGGACCAAAGCCATCAGATTTTAACACATCCTTAAAGAGTCAACTCGGATGATAATTAATAACCCTGGGTGGCTTGCAGAGGGATTCAGCCCGTTCCTCCCGTGCTTACAGCGTTCACTGACATGCTGTCTAAGCCTTTACCATGGCATGAGCTAAGTGATTGTGCACCTGGTGTACACCTGGTGGGTCCCTGTCTGAGCACGTGAGCTCTTTGAGAAGAGTGATGAGGTCTTATTGGTCTGTTAGGCTTTTTTTTTGAGTCAGACACTTGTGCGATTCATGCTGTCTTTGAACTCACAACCCTCTTTATCTCACCTTCCCAAGGGTTGGGATTGCAGACAGGAACTACCACTCACTTAGAGTTTTAGCAGTCTTTAAACCTGCCAGGGTCCAACTCTGGCTACCTAACACCATGTGCATTCTCAGATCGAATCTGGGCCTGTGGCAGAAGGGATGAACACTCACCAGGCTCCGCCTGCCCCTTTTCTCTAGGAAAGCAAGTCTGTCCTAGCCTTGTTTACGGTATCCTTGGCTCTTCGGCCACTCTAAAGTGGGTCTGCTCCACTTCTTACTTCACGTCGTTTGGCTTGTCCCTATCCCCCAGCCTGTCTTCTTTTTTATATTGAAGATAATTTATATTATCAAGTGTTAAAATAAAATGTTTACTCTTTGGTTTTGGGTCTACTTTTCTCGCACGCTGGCAAGATCTGACCCCCGTCTCCCACCTTGGTTGCTCAGGCTCTGGGAGTAACTCCCTTAACCCTGGGCGATCTGGATGATCTGTCTGGAAGAGTATGTTGTGACAAACCCAGACAAGTTTCTGTCTGTAGTGGGAACAGCCAAGCCTAGTCTGGCTTCCTGGAGGTAAACAGTAACCACAGGAGCCGATGGACAGTGGGTCTGGGTGCGAATGGTTCTGCCGAGATGGCTTAGAGGCGGCTCGACTCTTGGAGACAAAGGAGTTTTCAGAGCCTGGACCACCAGAATCGAAGGCCATCCTATACTGACCACTCTACCCTCCTTCAAAGGAAGACAGGGAACAGGCAGGGAAATGGAGTCAATCAGGCGGGAAGAAAGCAGAATGGAGGTGGGCAGGAACCCTGGAGCCCCGAGGCAGGAGAAGGGGCCGGGCCAAGAGAACTTCTGTTTGCCTAAGTCAGCATTCTCTGGCCACCCTCAGAGGCTGCACACAGTATTCCCCTTATGATGTATCCAGAATCACTCATCCTCCATCCAAATGATCTCTCGGCACTCTGTACCACTCCCTCTGTAGCCCAGATTACTCTCCCCATGTCAGGACTTGCCTCTTTCTCCTTCCTTCCCTCCCACTCCAATTAACTGGGTGTAGGTTCTGCTTCACACTTCCTCTGGCCCATCAGAGACATGGCCCCCTAACCACAGAAGCTGCCAGGCAGTGAACTTCCCATGGAGAGCCAATCAGACATGATCGAGAGAAGTAGGGCATGCCTGGAAGCCTTGCACAGAGACCAAGGTTTTTGGACATTCCTTACTCCTCTCGTCTCTACTGTATGTTCAGTATCTGCTTCTACTCACCTACCACCAAGTTCAACCTGGATGTAAAATACCTGAGCTTTAGATCTGAGCTGGAGGGGAGAGTACAGCCTAAGCTATGAGACCTGTCTCCCCGAACTCAGTAGAGGGTCTACCTGCCGGTGCCACCCAGTGACTATACAGAAATGCAGAATGCCACGCTGAAGAGACAACAGTGGCTACGATCCCTTTCCTGGACAAGGGTCTGTAAATTCGGAAACAGGCCACAGATTCTATAGATGGCTGCACTGGGGCCCCATCCCAAGACCTCCATTGGTGCTGGTGGGGAAAGCGGGCCTTGGGGACTCAGACTGCGCATGGATACGTGTGTGTGAGTGTGTGTGTGTGTAAGTATGCCCTAGCTTCTATGAAGGGCCACCATAAACATCCTTGGCTCAGCCCAGAAGTCCCATGTTGTCTTATCTGAGTTCCTTTGGCCAGCACAGACATTAGTAATCACTGATTTTCTGCCCCCCATCCGATCGCCACTAGCTCTTCTGTTAACATCAAAAAAGTCCAAGCCCTCTGTCTTCTGGTGGGAGGAAGCAGAGGGGTGTGTCTCTGGTAAAATTTCCTGTTGGAGAGCTGGAGAGCTCTGCCTTGGTCCCCTCTTCAGCCTATCCTCTCAAAACACTTGGAAGCCAGTCAGACCTCCAGCGCTGCTTCGGTTCCTACACCCACAAGCCAAACTGATGCCAGCACCATGGACAGCAGCCAAAGGTCACCTCACCCCCACCCTGCTTCTGGAGAGGCATAAACGAGGTTCCCTGTGCTCCGGGGAAGGTGGGCTGATAGAAGACAAACACTTTCTTCCAAGCTTTCCCAAGAGGAAACAGAGCAGAACCTTCTATTAGAGGACCAATAATAAAAAATGCCTCTGGATCTGACTTTAGCAATGTATGAAGGAATTTTTTAATTGCTCATGAATGGTTCACTGAAAAGACACCATCATTCATATAATACCCAGCCACCAGGCTTCAGGAGAAAGGGACCAAGCTTCAAGCTGACCCACATAGTTTTTTTTTTTGGTGGTTTGGGGGTCAAACCCAGGACCTCATGCACACCAGCAAGCACTCCTACCACGGACCCGCACCCCCAGCCCTCGCACCCACATTTCCCAAACCGTTTCTCTAATAAACAACAGCTCTCCTTTGCTTCTACCTTCCAGTAATACCACTAACTGGGCACACCTGGATCAAGCCTGTGACCCTGAACTGCCAGTTTCAACTGGGATTAAAGACCTAACCGTGAGGGAAGAGGCTCCTTCCCTGTCACTCTGAATGAGTCCATGTTCATCACACACTATGTTTGGGGGGACGCAGTCCCTGGAAAGGACTGAACACAGGTGTTCTCAGAACAGGCTGAGTAGCTCCAGCGTTGCCCCAAGTCCAGTGTTTGGGGGAGGCAAAGTGTTCTCATTCCTACAATAACCACTGTCCTGCAGTCGCTGTAACTATCACTTGGAATGCTAAAGTTCTGTGCCCTTCCGGCATATGCCACCTACCGCCTGGAATCAGTGAATGGCGGCGAGTCCAGAACCCTTTTCCACCACTACCAATTTTCTTTGTACTGGCATTTAATCCATCCCTCATTTAGCCTCATTCCAAGTCTATGAGGTAGATGAGGAAAAAAGATCAGATTTTTTTCTAAGTCATATAACTCACAGGTGTCAAGTCCACCTTCCTCCACTACCTCGAGCACTGCCACCTAGCAGCCAGCGTGAACTATTCGCCAGCAAGCAGGGGTTCCTTCTCCAGCTACCAATGTGTAGCCACACTTGGACTCCGAACCTGTGCTGAGGAGCCTCCCCACACCCTCCAGCCTTCGGAAAAGCCCCCACGAGAAAGGAGTCTCCACGTGCGTATAAATGATTCTTTATGCCCTTCCCCCATGCAATGGGGGGGTGGGGCAGGGGGAAGTCCCCCGCCCTCATGCAGGGAACGGGAGGTCAATGTTTACTAGTCTTATTGCCAGATGCCCTGTGGCCGTGGGGTGGGGAATGGGGGTCTACAGCCCCTTGTGTTCTGGCATTGGTCTCCCTTTACCAAGTCACCATGGTGGAGCCAGGGGACTGGAGGCCCTAGAGCTGAGGTAAAGATGGTTCTCTCCAAGAAGAAAAGCTGCTTGCCCGCCTGCCTGCTGGCTGGCCATCCTCAAGATGAGCACGAGGTGGTGTCGGTGGGAGCTGGAATGTCATCCAGGTGTCTCTACTCTGTGGGCAGTAGAGGCCAGACAATTTCTCCAAGCTTGAGGCTGTCCACAGAGATCCTCAGTGGTGGGGCCGCTGTGCCCCAAACACCTTGTTTAGGTCGTACCTTCAGCAGCCAGGAGAGCTCATCTCTGGCTGCCACTCTGAGTTGCGATCCCTGCCCCTGGAGTCCAGGTCAAACTGTAGTGACCCTCATGACAACCTCTCGACCAGAATGAGAGCTGGAACGGGCATCCGGTGGCCGCAGCTGTCCAAGGAGATGCAGGATTGTATAACCACAGCGCTGAGGCAAGAGCGTCCGCATGCGCTGGGCAGCTGGGGGCCGGCTGGGAGTCCCAGCCGGGGGGCTGGTCCGTGAGGTCCTGGGGCCTGGTTTCCCTGCTGTCCCTCCCCCTGCATCTCCTCCTATGTCCTTGGTCTTGTCGTAATTCAGGACCTTCCACTGTTGGTTCACTGCTTGCCAGCGCTTGAAGATGCGGTAGACGGAAGAGCCTTCGTGAACGATGAGGCCTGAACAGGAAGGATGAGAAAACCAGGGTGAACCGCTGCCCACATACAGGCCACGGGTCCATGAGCATTCATGTCTGCAGACTGAGAAGACAGAGCCGCAGAGGACGGCCCCAGGATAGCCCCGACAGTCTCCAGGGGTGGGGTTAGGACTATGAAACTGAAAGATGGGCAGGGAGTCAGGTGAGTGAGTAAAGGCGATGCTAAGCGGGTAGGGGGCGAGCTGGGAGGTGTCCTCACCTATGCAGACGACATCCATGAAGCCGTACATGCCGTAGCAGATCTGGAAGAGAAGATCCTGGCGCTGCCACTTGGCTGAAGGACTGAGCGAGGACCAGATGAGCCAGGAGATGCTGGCGACGAGGAACAGTGAGCCCAGAACTATGGCCGCAATCTGGACCTTCTCGATGACAGTCAGGGAGATGGCCTGCCACTGTTAGGGAGAAAATGCTCCAAAAAGTCACAGGAAGGGATAGGCAGCAGGGCAAAGAGAAGACTCCAGAAGCTTCCCTAAACCCCAGGCAGGATTAACAATCTGTCTTCTCCATACGGCGGTCTAACGTAAGCTGAGACAACTAGTCTAGCTTATTCTAGAAAGGCACGATTGGACAAGAGCTTTGAAACCCAAACATATACATTGGCACTCCAATCTTAATTCCATCTCTTACTAGTTGAGTAATAATTCTAAGTGAGTCAGTGCCTGTGTTTCTAAAGACAGACATAATCATGGTACCCAGTTAAAAGAGTTAATATACAACAAACAGCACACAGGAAACAGAGTACATCCACTATCATCGCCAACATTATCTTTTCCCTCCCTGTCGCTCTAAGGTCCTTAGAATAGCGCCAGAACAGTATCTTGGAAGGCCATAACGGTGGAGGGAGAAGGCTTTGGGAAAACAGCAAATAAGATGAACCATTCTGAGTCCTCTCCGAGCACCTCACCTGCAATGGGTTCTTGGTGCTGATCGCCAGGACCTGGTACTTGAAGTAGCAGAGTTCACAGCTCCAAGAGCCCCTCTCACTGATCCAGCGGATGAGGCAGGGCTGGTGTGTACAACGCACTGAGCCGTCACAGCGGCAAGGACTCAGGAGCTCCCCCTGGAGGAAGAGAGGGGAGGGCCCCAGTCAGCCATCATCACCCGGACCCCTTCTGCTGCACTCCTGGAGAGGAAACCGCTTGCTTACACTACTACATTTAAGTGCTCCGGCTTTTAACCCAAAGCAGGGTTAAGAAAGAAGCAAAGAAGCTATGGCTGCAGTGCAAAAGTAAGAAGTCAGAGCTCAAGAAAAAACTTCTGCAACCAAAAGGATTCAATTTGGGGTGGGAAGGAAGCCCATTCTCCCCTTGCCTAGAAACTGCAAAGGTGATTATGATAGCCTAAAGAGACGAGACGACCTGTCCCTAAGGATCTGGAGGGAGGGGAGAGTCAGCGGCTGAGCTATGCCTTCCTTCACCCACTCCACTTCCAGTATATAGGCCTGGTGCCAACTGGGATGGATAAACCGATCGTAGCTTCCACACTACAATGAGGAGACGTTCTGCGGTCAAGAGTGGGACATGGTCCCTTTTAGTCAAGCAGTCATTTCTCACTGCACAGGGACGCCCTCCGGTACTATCCCGGGACAACTTTACCTATAAATTTAAACAAAGAAGGCTCTTTAGAATGAAGTGGAAAGTTGCAGGATGGGAGCAAAAAGTGCCTCACCAGAGGAGAGACTGAGTGAGGCAGGGTCCTGGCAGGCCCCTCCTCTCAAGATGCGAACGAATGTACTCTCCTCTCGGCCTACCTCGGAAAAAATGGGCTCCCTCAGCTAATGGCGACGACCCTAAGGTGAGGTGAGCAGGTGCTAACAGCTGTTCCTGATAATGGGTGACAGAGATCCTGAGCCCTCCTAGGAGAAAGCCCCACCCCATCCTGGGAGCCCCCGACTCCCCCTGCCCCAATCTTGACACACTCCAGCAGTCTCCAGACAGGCCAAGCTCACCCAACTCCCACTCGGGGTCCTGGGTCCCGCCCAGCTGCCCCAGGCCCCGCCCCCTGCTCCGGTCTCCGCGGACACCCCAGGTGCGCGCCCCCACCCCTCCCCGCCCAGCCAGGTGCTCGGGCGAGCCTGACCTGCTCCGGGCCTTGGAAGCAGATCCTGCACTGGGGGGTTCGGAGCCCACTGTCCAGGCTGCTGCTG